GACTTGCAACCGACTCGAGTTGCAACCAGAGTCACGGAATGGATTAAGTTCGTAACTAGAGGTACCACTGTATTAGAATTCAGTAGAATTATAACACTTCTTTAGTGCTCTTGCAAAATTAAGAAAATACATTCCACTAAATTCTAAAGAGCATCATCTAAGAAGACTTACAATAATAACTATATTTCACAGCTGATGTTATATCCAATATAAAGCCTAATTTATGTATTATGTAAATTTAATGAACGATTATAACATTTTCAGCATTCCAGTATTGATTAAAGAGTGAAATATCTGAAAGACCTTGACTGTTACCTGGATGCAGAGACAAGTAAGAAAGAGAATATACAGGTCTGTTAATAGCCAAGACTGGGGCACTGTGAGACTGGACTCACCTCCAAGCAAGAATAGAATATTTATTAAAACAAGCCACTTTTTTCAAAACCTTATTTTAATCAAAAGAAATAAATAGTTACTGAGGTACATCTGAAACAGCAACTCAAACATGCCTATACAGAAGATGTACAGTATATGTTTTTACATGTACATCTAGCTGTTTACTTCCTGTAGATGCAAGAGGTATTTTGTTAGTAACCCCCCAGCCCAAAAAACATGAAAACAGGATCCAACAGCATGTTACTGTCAAACAGGCATTGCAATGATAGCAGAAGTGAATCCAAGCTAAGTTGCTCAGGACAGAGAACAAGCCTTATCCCAAAGCTTTCACTGGAATTAGTGTCATCTGACTCCTTTTGTCTTATTGTTATTAAGAAGGTGGTTTGCCAGTAGTCTAACAGAACTGATTAACTCACTTAACACAAGATCACAATTCACATTTGCTGAGGTCTTGCCTACCAACAAGTTCTCTCCTGAAAGTTTCTCAGTAAAATAAAATTTGGTTTTCTTTTTTAATGCATCTTGATATTTACACAGACCAACTCTAGAAAAATAAAATGTGCATTTCTAACATGAACTTCTGTTCTTTCTAGAAAAATAAAATCCATGGTATATTACAAGCATTTGTTCCCTTCCAACTGGTCTTCAGAAATAAACAGAATAAAGGTATGCATAAAATGAAAAGAAAATATAATGATATAATGTTATGACCAATCCATCAACTGAAAAACATGAACTGTTTTGAAGTAAGTACTTTAAACAAATATAAAGATGTTAAACAAAACTAAGCAACCAAGAATTTTGAACGTACATGCCATTAATGGGACAAGTACAATTCTCAGTTTTATATATGACTCTCAGGAGTTATTAAAAAAACTGAATCTGCATTTGCAAACCATTACCTTGGAGCTGGCTTAGAAGTAATGTAACTATTTTATGATTGAGTAACATGAATTACAAGCATATTTTGCAACAGCTGGTTATAGTGGCTTTTCCACAACAAAATTATATAAAAGTAGGAAAAAAAAAAACTTCCAAAGTCACTGCTCACATAATAGACTTACTTCATCATCTGCTTTATAGACTCCTCCAGCCTACTCAAACAAATTTTGTGTCAGGCTCTTAGACAGTGGACTCAAACCAAAAATAATCCCAGTCATGAATCACACAGAGCATTCTTAACAAGTTTTATTGCAGTAAACAAAATTAAACTAAACTATTATCCAGTAACAGTGATTTATCTCCTAAGACACTAGGCGGAGCCTTTTGTAATTTCTTTCTAAATGCTTTATTGTGAACTGGCAAGGAGGTGGTTCTTTTTATTGGTAATACTGATTCTGCAGTTGTATACCTACAAAACCATCTTCTGAATCCTGATTGGCCCAAGAACCAAACTTACATTTAGGAGAGTAACTAAACAAACAAGTAAAGAATAATCCCTTCTAACAGCATTTTTTAAAAAAATCAGAACTCAGTACTTGAATGGGACAGAAAGCAGTGTTTGAACCTAACTGCATAGCTGCTTATTGTAACTATATATCATAGTGCTTCAAAATAACTCCCGCTCCATTGGATAAAATTCTAAAATCATTCAGTGTTAATCTTATTTCATTTTTATTAGCTGATAGGAAAAAGAACACCAAAAGTACACTCTCACCAAAATAAACTACAACTACAACTGATTATTAAAATTGATGCAGTAAAGGCTCACACCAAACCAATA